AATGTATAAAAAGAATCCTTAGGAGAATATAATGAAATAAATATTGAGAAACAATGAGTTAGAGGGAACAGATAACTATACTTTGCATGTGCTTTTTTTTAATATGAGCATATGTTCATTTTTCATCTACATAATGGAAGCGTTAGGTGTTTGCAGTGAAATTCTGGCGAGATGTAGTTCCTCAGCCCACACTGAGTTGCTCAATTAGTGTCTGTCTCTTTGGCAGCGGCTAACCAATTTTAGGAAGAAACTGCATTTTTAACAAGTAGGCTGGTTTACAATAAAAACCACATGACCTACAAAGCCTAAAATACTTATCTAACTATTTATAGAAAAGGTCTACTGACTGACTTTGGATCCAAGATTGACAATGCTTCAGCTTTTCCAGACTGACATGGTCAATGTGGTAGGCAGTAGTTTCAGCCTCTTTTGTCAAAATAATGCTCTAGCTACTTTCTAGCCTAGGAGCCAAGGGAACATCAGATGCCTCTTTTAATTACCCACTCAGCTCTAAGAATAAGCGTGACTGAATTTCCATCTGAACTTTAAGTATTATCTCAATAATCAAATAAATTAATAGTAACTCTAAAGATGAAAAGAGGTTTATCTTGTTTTGAAACCAATTCTCTTACCATAGGAAATCCATTTTAAATGGTGTTAGCCCAAGAACAGACCATAACTTTTGGTTTGTTGTTGTTTTGGTCTTACGTTAGAACATCTTTATGGTTAAGGAATAATCACTCTCTTCAAAACTTCCTCAACAAGTTCCAAGTGACACCACATTCCTGTGCTCACCAGGTTAGTGGACAGCAGTTGTTTGTATCTGCCCAGGCTGCATTCCCCTTTTGGTGGTGGCACACTATTCTTTTTTTGGACAACTGCTCCAATCCATCAGTCCTTGTGCAGGGTGCCAATCGAGGTGCACTGCCCTTTCTTAACCAAAGGATTTAAACACATAACCCAAACGAGGTCAGCTAGACACTCTTCCTGGAATTCACATGGCTTCCACCACCTCGAGACCAGGAACTCCTCACCAGCAGAAATAAGGTTTGATTCATCTCTATACCCCTGATGCCTAGCACAGTGCCTGGCTATGAATATTCAACACACGCGGGTTGAATAAATTACAAAGAAAATCATGTACCTTAAACAAATGCTAAGTCTATCATTTCCCAACAGAACTCTGGAGGGGGAGCAAATTGTACGATGTTTTGTAAGGGAAATGTCCACTTTAGTAGCTAGGAAATATGCAGTGGAAATAGTATCCCAAGTTGCCGTTTCTCAGTGCATTAAAGATGTCAATCAGTCCAACAAAATAAAGCCCCCAAAAAGACAAAAGGAGAATTACCTCATTACCTCAACATCTGCTTGAACATAAGCAATCGCACACTGGCTAATTTTTTTTTTAAAGGGACATAATATAACTTTCTAGAAAGACATAATATAGCTAATTATACCATTCACTGGAAGGGAACATACAATGTTTTGAAGTAATTCAGAAGTGGGTGTGATTTATAAGACATAGAGCTTAGGGAATGGTAAGTATAAATTAGGGATTGTTCATATTATGACAGACTCCGTCATTACATTTCACAACTTTTGTCAAAAGCAACCTTATTCACCACCCCACTGAAGCCATCACATTAGGGAAGGCTGCTGTCAGCTCTGCCATTTGGATAGGAACCTTCTTTCTGAACACCCTCCTGGGGAATGGATTCAAATTTCAGACTTAAGACTAAGGAAAGAACAGACGAAACCTCAATGGACAGTAAATATGTAAAAAGATTTCAAACCTCACTAATAATACAAAATTTTTAAAGGTACTATTTTTGCTCATCGGATTGGCGAAAATTAAGAAACTTGTCAGGTGTCAAAATTAGTAAAGATTGTTGTTGGTCGATGTTGACCAGCGTGTGGTTTCATGGGCACTGCTGGGGACAATGTGAACTGGCAAAGCCATTTGAGGGAGGCACTTTTGCAATGTCTAGGAAAACTTTATGTGTACATCCCCTCTCACCCAACAATTTCGTTTCTAAGATTCTACCCTAGAAAAAAATACTTGTAATTGTATAAATTTATTTATATGGTTAATTTATTAATGACTGTCTACTACACAATAAACTTGGTGAAAGCAAAGACTGTCTGATTCACCATCTCAAGCCCTAGTGGCAGCACATGGGCCTCATATATGGTAGGTACCTGGTAAGTATCTGTTAAAAGAATAAATGAATGTTTTACTTAGAGTTAAAAAAGAAAAAAATATATTAAATGGATAATCGTTCTTGGTCACATTAAATAAGAGTAGTGGAATTATTCACAATGTTAATAGGTAGTAAAAAATATTGTGTTTGCAAAAATAAATCATACAAACCATCAGCTTACAAAATTGATCATAATGTTTCTAAGAGCCCAAACACCTTGTTGCCTGTTTTTCCATCTCAAACCCTTAGCTTCCCATTTAGTTCCATTGGTCAAAGAACAATTAAATACTCTAAAAATAAATCAATTGTTATAACAATCTATGATATAATGACAAATGCCTTGGTTCTGAGATGTATACTAACACACTGTAGGCTGAAAAAAAAAAATCCCAACACCTGCGTAATCAGACTCAATGTCCTTTAAAAATGTTTGCCTTTTAAGAAACACAAATTTCAAAGTCTAACTGGTCTGTTGACTTTGGTAAGTCCATAATCAAGGAAATAATATCCACTAAAAATACCAATGCCACAAATGTGTTTGTTTTCCAATAAAATATGAGAAAGAACCAGAAACTTAAGGATATTCTCTTTTTCCCAGCTCTCAAATCCAACATAAGGACAGAGGATGTATACCAAAATCAAATGTAAACAACTCGTGGATTATCTGTCTTGTTAATCTACTCGTGAAGTTATGTACAGAAGGAGTGGAGTTTATTTCATCATTATTTGAAAACTGACCATCCATCAAAAGGTCTGGTATCCACTAGTAGATATTACCAATCATGAAATCTCCAACAGACTAGAACAGGGGACCCCAACCCCTGGGCTGCAGACGGGTACCTGTCCGTGGCCTGTTAGGAACCGGGCCATATAGCAGGAGGTGAGTGGTGGGCAAGCGAGTGAAACTTCATCTGTATTTGCAGCTGCTCCCCAGAGCTAGCATCACCGCTTCAGCTCCACCTCAGATCATTAAGCATTAGATTCTCACAGGGGCACCGGTCCCTGGTGCCAAAAGGCTCAGGGACTATTGGTCTAGAATATGAATTAAGAGTTTTTAGGGATGTGGTAAAAAAGGTGAAGAGGAATAAGAGGTACAAACTTCATGTTATAAGTAAGTCATGGGGATGTAATGTACAGGATAGGAAATATAGTCAATAATATAGTAACTTTGTACAGCAACAGATGGGTACTAGACTTATCACGATGATCACTTCATAAGGTATATTAAATGTCAAATTACCATGTGGTACACCTGAAACTAATATAGTATTATATGTCAACTATAATTTTAAGAAGTCGTTATGTTATTAAGGGGCTTTTATTAGAAATTTAAAAAATACTAATAGAATACAGCCCCGCACTAAATAAAACACAAGAAATTCCAGATAAAGGCATTTTGACCACCCACCAGATTCACTGACACCTGTGACTTCATGACTTTGGGCTAATTCACTGACATGTGTGACTTCATGACTTTGGGCTAACTCTTTGATGAGAGTTGAAGGTACTGGAAAGATAAATCCATCAACATTCATCCAACACTTTCTAGATGCTAGATACCACAGAGGAATGTGTTCTGTCCACTTTAATGGGGTTAAATAATTTCCCCAAGGTCACACAGTAAAGAGTAAACAAGCCACAAAGTAAACAGATCCATTTCCAGGAGTGTGTACTCCAGAGGGATCCACATCCCCTCACAAATGGTATACTTGTGGTTGGAAAGAGCAATGGGTCACAGTACTGGACAGGACCTCAGGAAATCACCTGCTTTAGCCCTCGCCTTTAGTCAGGTAAGGCGTGATTAACCACAAGACTCGTTGTGCTTAATGGACAGACTCTTCCAAGTTCACAGAGTTGGTGAGTTGAACCAAGAAAAGTGAAAGAGCTGGGGCTGAACATCAGGATTTGCTACAAAGAGGCCCTTCCACATAATGGCCATGTCAGCAAGTTCGTCAGAAAAGCACATGTTCCTAACACGTTTTACTTCCTAAATTTGTATGGTTCCTCTCTTTCTTGACCCATATCCTCAAGGCCACATTTGGTCAAGGTAATAATAATTTTAAAAAGTATTAGGTTCATATTAATTTGGCTTTGCTCAGAAGTGTGATAAGTGATGAAAACAATTCTTTATTAAGGGGTAATCTCCAGTTACCAGGCAGTGTAGAAATGCATATACGTGGCCTGGCTCTCCAGTGGGCGAGCCAAGTCTCAATTCAGAAAGCCCCACACAAGCAGAGTGTTGACTCGCTGACTAATAAATTGCTAAAAATGGGAAGTGATAAAACACATCACGGTCTGAAAAACCTAGCTAAGTGGAGAAAGAGGAACTAGAAAGAACCAGAATGAAAAGCTGGAAAGGCTGGAGCACTGCGCTGCAGGCCTCCCAGCGCCAGCGTGCAAGGGTGGGGCCAAGGCCAGGGAGCAAGGCCAGCTGAGCTGAACACGCCGCCCTCCCCCAAAATATCAGCCCCACCCGCTTCTCCCGTGCGGAAGGTAGTACGGTGGGACCATGTCCGCGCCGAATCCTCGCCCCTGTCCCCAGCCCCCGACAGCCAGCCAGAGAAACCAGCGGGTAGCGCTTCCCGCTCTGCCGGGCCTGACACTCCCCAACATTCGCACGTTACCCTTGGCCGTGGGCTCTCCGAGGCGCGCAGGGCGCGAAGGATGCTTCTCCACGGGGTAACGGAGCTGCCGGGGTGACCACAGCGGCCGCAAGCCAAGCCCCAAAGCCAGCGCCCGCGAGCCGTCCCCGCCCACGGGCCGCGGCGGCCCGCACCTGGCGGCCGCGCGCCCGCCTACCTTGCTCCTTCAGGCTGGTGATGAGCTGCAGCTGCTTCTCTTCGTCCGAGCTGTTCATTTTGGCAGGTTGGGTCGGGAATGAAAGGGAAAGGAGGGAGAGGCGAGGGGTCCACGGGGGAGGGGGAAGGAAAAGCAAGATGCCGGTGGCGTGCGGCTTCGCTACCCGGAAGTGGGATTTGCTCCCGCTCCTCCTCCTGCAGGCGCGGAGCGGGCGAGTGAGCTCATCCCCGCGCACCTACTCCGCGGCCCGGGCGGCTTCACCTGCCGGCGGGCTGCGGGGCGGGGGTGAGGATGGAGGCGGGGACACGCCGGCAGCCCGAGGGCAGGAGGTGGGAGCGAGAGAGGCACCCGCAGTGGCCCCGGGGTCACAGCCCTCGCTCTAGCCGGCGGCGGCGGCGGCGGCTGGGCTTTCTCTGCGGAGGCTGGCGCCGCAGGTTGCGCAGGCGGGAGGGCTAGCGGGCCTGCGGGCCTGCGGGCCTGCATGCGTTCGCGCCGGCTCTCTGCTCGCACCCCTTTTCTCCGCCTCCACAGCCGCGCCCCTGACACCAAGACGTACATCCAGGAAAAAAAAAAACAAAACCCGCCTTGGATCTGCAGTGTCTGTGGGAACCCCACTTTGAACGCTGCTCAAGGGCCGGTCCCCGCGAGCCGCCAATGTAGAGCAGAGAACGTAATGGGCAATAAACCCAGGTTCCTTCCCCAATTCTCACACAGTGGCCTTGGGGGGCGGTGTGGGAAAACCTAGGTGCTGCAGGGGCAGGCTCAGTGGTGTAGGTTTTGAACCTTGAAAAGCAGACGCGACTGAAACAGGCCAGCCAGGTAAGTTAACACGCAGTGAGCGGAGGAGGGCGTGTCCATTAACAACAGTTCCCTGGGCCGGAGCTGGCTTTCTCCAGGCTCGGTGGGGTCGAGAGGTGGTCGGAACGTGGGCCCTGCAGCACGTGGATCCCAGGTCCTCAAGGATCATCTGGTTCATGACTGGAAGGCCTTCCTTGTAGGGAGGCTGTCACTGCATTCCGAATTCCGAGGTCGCACAGCTGCCTGGTAGCAGAGCCTGGCGGAGTGAAGGCCAGCATGTGCCCCACTACACTGCCCTCTGCGCTGTTTAAACCCATCTCTGGGCTAGACACTGATCAGAAGAGGGGCGGCAGGCCCGACAGATTTCAAAATGGTTCTCCGCACCCGCCAATTGCCGGTTAGTGTTTGCTCAAGTCCTCTGACCTCTTTAAACTTCCTCTAAAGAAGGGGAATAATACTAATACCTACTCTCCAGGAAGAGTTGGAAGGATTGAACAAGGAGAGGAAGATAAACAAAACAATCTGACATGAATAGGTGTTCTTTTTTTTTTTTAAGGTTACAGGTCTGTGGAAAAGGGGTTGTAGATGCTAATTATAAACTAAAACAGGGCACAGTTCTTTTACACTGATCGTTAAGCATCCAAAATAAATCCAAATTAAATTAGACTTACTGAACATCTTTTTTCTTAACCTCTAAACACCAGCCCAGTGCTTCTCCTCATTCCTCACTTGCTATTTTATGCAAATGCCCAATTCCATTTACTGAGTGGGCTTCTTCTTGATGGTGGGAGTGCTGAAATATAGGTAAATGCTTTAACTAGTATCTGTCTGGTACTCTCCTACTAAATTGTAACTCTAAAACAAACTTGAAAAAATGACAGCACTGCTTTCTCCTAAAAAGGTGGTAACAATAGTTTAGCGTAGGTGAATCCGTGGTAGAATGATCTCAACGGGCAGCACAGTATTTTTAAATAGAATGTATTAAAATTTTGAAACTTTA